GAGCGGGCAGCCAGGCCAGGGATTGGGAGGCCAGCGGCAGGTGGGCCAGAAGTAAGCTCCCTTGGTCCAGCAAAATCCCTCATCCAGGACTGGTCAGGTGCCAAGGGTGTCAGACTAGGAAAAGTCCAACCTGTACCAGGATCGTATTTGGCAAACTGAGTCTCTACTGATTCTTTTGGTTATTTTCTTCCAGGTTAGTTGTCCAGCTACACCAAAAGGAGGACAGGAAACAGCTGATGTGGATTTAATCAGGCTGCAACTTTATTATTGTGTGGATAGGGTTGCCAAACTTTCTAATTCCAGACTGAACATCTTTGCCCCTCACACTGCCCACCCCTTCCCTGAGGTCCCACCCCTTCCCGAAGCCTGGCCTCCACTCACTCTATCCCCATTTCTCTTCGTTGCCTGCTCTCCCCCACCATTGCTCACATGCTCATTTTCACTGCAAGGCTTGAATAGGCATATTTATAGTTTAGACAGATGTAAGTTCAGTTTTTTTTTCAGGAAACAAAAGTTGGCAGCAAAATAGCTTAAAGGGGCAATAAAAGAAATGAAATTTCATGAAGGTTTCCACTATTCTTGCCCTCCCCTCTTCCCATTTTTTTGTAACCAGATTTATGTTTTTTGGTCACTGAAGTTGTAATTTTATGCATAGAATTAGGACCACTGTTATCATAGCTGCAATGGGTCCATTCAAGGTCCACTCCTGAAACACAAATACAAACCCATAGGGCACAACCACCAGAATGCACCTATTCAGATATCCTTAAATTTGTGGAAATTGATTCCCACACCTATTTGCAGATACATACATGTATTCATGTATACATATCTAGCATGCACTAACATATCCTTCCACATTATTAATTATTACATTTATTGTGTAGTGCCAAGAGACCCCAACTAAGATCAGGGCTCAAGGGTGGTAGGTGGTGGACATACACATAAAGAGTCTGCAACAAAGTTTATAACATAGCTAGACAAAGATAGGGAGAAATGTATGATACATTGGCTCTTCTGCAATTACTAATAAACCACTGTCCCTTTTTAAGTGAATACATGCATACATTCCTTTTAGAGTTCCCTTTTTCATAAACTTGTTATGAAATGAATATGCACACATTTTAGGTCATCAATTTTTGTTATGTGCAAGCTAGCAAAAGGAATAAAAATCAAATAATTAGGCTGCAAATTTTATTCACACGGGTATAGACGCATGCGGCAATTGACACACATCTTCCTACACAGACATACAGTCTCTTGCACACATGCAGTGCATGCATCCACTAGGGTGTAAAATCCTATTTAATTGATTAACCGGATAAACCAGGGCTCAGGAACATATGGCTCACAAGCCAAATCTGTCTCACTAAGGAGCTAAATATAGCTTGCAGCTTGAGCTCAGCCGCCCCTTGCTTGGCCCCCCAAACCCACAACAGGCATCCTGCACTGATGCGCCAGCGTCACATCTCCCGCAAGATTGGAGCTAACGTTGGCTTCCTGAGGGAGGGAGTGGGGAATGGAGAAAACCCTGAGCCTTGCTGCGCAGTCAAGGAAGAAGCAGCACTGCAGCTTCCCTGCCTCTTCCCCTGGCGGAGGGAACAGCAGCGCATGGATGTGCTGCCTGGAGGCTTGTCCTGCTGCTCCCATTGGCCGGAATAATGGGCCAAAAAGTCATTGTCCAAAAGAACTTTTGTGCTTGTTCTTGATAAATCCATGCATAAACCACCCAAGTTAACTTCCTTTTTTGACTGGGGTTACAAAGCCCAGTGGAAAGGGGGAAGCTGTAGAACCAATATAGTTTGACTTTAGTAAGGCTTTTTACACAGTCCCAAATGAGCCTGTCAATAGTCAATTAGGGAAATGCAATCTAGATTAAATTATTATAAAGTGGATGTACAAGAGGATGAAATTTTATATTTTAAGAGTGGCTATCAATGGTTTGCTGTCAAATTAGGAAGACATATCTAGTTAAGTGTCACAGGGGTCTTTTGGGATTGAGTACTATGCACTGTTTTCACTAATGAACTTAGATCATGGGTGGCCAACCTAAACCTGAGGAGGAGTCAGAATTACCAATGCACATTGCCAAAGAGACATATATGTCACTAGCCCTAATCATCTCCCTCCCCCCACACACACACCACTCTCAGCACATCCTGCCCACTGGCAGCCCCACCTATCAGTACCTCCTCCTCCTCCCGCCCACTATGATCAGCTCGCTCTCAGTGGGAGACACTGGAGAGGGGGAAGCATGGGTGTGACAGGCTCAGTGGAGAGGGTAGGAAGTGGCAGGATCCTAGGGAGAAAAGGGTGGAAAGGGGCAGTGCCTAGGGCAGAGCTGGGGATTGAACAGTGAGCACCCTTTGGCCCAGTGGAAAGTTGGCACCTGTAGCTCCAGCCCTGGATTTGGTACCTATGTAAGGAGCCTTCTGAAAAGCTGCACGTGGCTCTAGAGCCACAGGTTAGCCACCCCTGACTTAGATAACAGAGCACACTTATAAAAATGTGCAGAGGATACCATGCTGGGAGGCACTGTAAGCACTCTGGAGGACAGATTAGAATTCAAAATAACTACAGCAAACTACAGAACTGGTCTGAAATCAATAAAATGAAATTCACTAAAGACAAGTACAAAATATTAAGGAAGGAGGAAAAAAGCAAATGGAGAAATACAAAATTGAAATAAGTGGATATGCAGCAGTAATTCTGACAGGGCTATCAACAAATAGTTGACTAGATGATTTGTTCATCTAGCTGACAACTCCCATTTCCTCCTGCCTATGCTGCCTCTGTATCAGAGGCAACAATGGGGGTGGGGAAACAGGAGCTGGTCCTGGGGGAGCCAGCTAAAAAGCCAGTTCTTTGGAGCACCAGCTCTGCAGCTCTGCCTGCCCCTCACTCTGTGGCCTCTAATAGAGGCAGCAGCACAGGGGTGAAGAGGAGGCAGGGGAGGCTGCTGCTCTCGCCTGGCATCCCATGTTGCTGCCTCTGATACAGAAGTAGCAGCATGGAATGGTAGGTGGCTCTCTGAACAGTGATTGTTCTCCATCTTCATTAAAAGTATAAGTAGAAATTGGTTTAATCTGCAGCAAAGGAGAGTTAGGTTAGACAATAAGAACAACTTGCAAACAGTAAAGGTGATTAAACTCTAGAATAGGTGATAGTGGGTTATGCCCAGGAAAGCTCATGGGACCATCTACATTTTTTGTTAGTCTCTAAGGTGCGGCAAGATTCTCTGTCGTTTTTTAAGTTTTACCAAATCTCAGGGGAAGTTTAAAGCAACAGGTTGGTAAGAAAGGAGCCCATAAAGTCCAGCCACCTTCCAGAAGAGTCAGCGGCGCCCCAAACGGGCCCTACCAGCAGCACTCCGGCTAGCGTAGCTCATACACCGCCACCACAAACGCTGAAGCCCCGCTCACCTTTTCCAAATCCCGCCTCACTTTGCACGGGATGCAGCTCGTGTCGGGGCCCGCTTCAGCCCGCAACGAGAAAGCCCCTCCCCGCCCTTCTCCGAGCAGGGCCCC